GTGCATTGATTTTCACTTTCTAAAGCCCCTGACCTCTTTCTCAAATGGAATCTCAGGTCAAAGTGCAATATATAAAATAGAGAATATTCAGAGTTACTCTCTAGATAAAAATACTAACAGATAAGTCTACCTGTCTTGTCAAAAACAGTATTTTCATGGTGTAACTAGGTCTTTAGGGTAGAAGTTTCCACTCTTCCAGATGTGGTGATTTGTGTTAGAGACACTTTTCACATCAACTGGCTTCCAAACCCAAACTTTGACAGGAGGGTGAAAGGTGCTTATGGTGACGTGGAGACTTGTGAGGAGAATGCCTGCTATGCACAGACACTGAAGAAGTTGTTTTGGAAAACATGAGAGAAGTATAAGGAGAAATATAATTTTGACAAATTTTAGGATTTTCTGAAAGTGTGGCAGGGTTTTGGTTTCGAATAAAATTCTGGGCCCTACCCCTCGGGGCATCAAAATCAGGATATTTAGGGGAATCTGTATTTCTTCAGGCACTCCAGGTGATTGTCAAGCAGGCTGCTGATAACCACATGCTTATTTTGAATATTTTCTATAACACAAGTAGCCAAGAGTTAGCTAAGGAAGTCTCAGAGGAAAGTAATCAGTGGATACCTTTGAAATCTTCTTTGGCTTCGCAGGGAGTTCTAAAATTTGTGGACAATGGTTTTCTTAAAAGGAGTTCTCTGTTTAACAAATTATCCCCCTATGTTTTTTCTTTCTGATGTTTTCTCTTCATGTTCAAAGACATGCAGTGAAAAGGAGCTTGGAGTTAGGCAATTCTAAAGCCAATTTAATCTATGTAGGGAACTGACTTGGCTAATTTAGATCAATAAAGATCTTCTTTTATGTAGTACTTTCTTCCTTGAACTCTATCTAGATCCCTGTTTAAAGTCAATGCTCCATCCTTCCTATGCTGACACAGAATTGGGGTCAGGAGGAGTCCAATAGCAAACCGTGACATGACATGAAAGTGTTTTATTTTGCACTTTCTTAATTAAATGGAGCTACACTGGTCTGGTGGAGCTTGGAAACAATAACACAGATCTATGTAACTTTACACACACACACACACACACACCACTAGGCAAAAGTTGCAATAATATTCTCTCCGTAGAACTTTCTCTAGCTACTCCAACTTATATCTCTTTCTGGCTTCTCTAATCTAAGTAATGGTCATCTAATGAAAATTATTCATTTTTATGTTAGTTCAGTAAGATAATGAGAGTTACACTTTTTCATACTATTTATGGTGCCTAAAGCAAGCAATAAAAAAAACTCATAGTTGATTTGAAAAATCATGTTATCAGTCCTAGCTTTGTCTTTACTTTAGTTTTAAAGTATGTGTGTATTTATTAATTTATCTGGATTTGAATATATATATTTCATTTAATAATACATGTGATAATGTACAAAAGATACTTGGACTTTGTTCCTGTTTGCTGGCACATGTCTCCTAAAATCCTTCAAAGTGCTGAGTGTCTTTATATGCTTGTGAATTGACTGATGGATGGTAGCTTCAGCTTTGGGGCTTGGTGGCCACAAAGACCAAAGTAGGATTAGAGAATTGGGACCCAGCACCATCCCCCAACTTCCTGGAAGAATGAGAATCCAAGGTTAAGTTGCTCACTAATGGTCAATGACTTAATCATGCCAGTGTAATGAATGCTTTGTTAAAAACTCAACAGGTCAAGGCTAAGAGAACTTCTGGGGAGCTGAATACATGGAGGTTCCTAGAGGGTGGCACCCAGAGAGGGCATGTAAGCTTAAGCCCCTTCCCACATACCCTGCCCTGTGCATTTCTTCATCTGTATCCTGTGTGATAGCCTTTATATTAAATCAATAAATGTGTTTCCCTGAGTGCTGTGAGCTGCTCTAGCAAATGCACTGAATCTGAATAGGGTGTTGTGGGAACCCCAGTTGATAGCTGATTGGTCAGAAGCACAAGTAAATCAAATTGGAACTTGAGGATATTATCTGAAAGAGGGGGCAATTTTGGTGACTTTAACCTGTGAAGCTGACACTGTGTCTAGGTAGACAGAATCAGCACTGAATTGAATTAGGGCACCCAGCTGATACTACTACAGAACTGGTTGCTTGCTTGGGGTGTGGAAAAACTGTACGTTTGGTCAGAGAAATATGCATTGGTGTGTGCGAGTGTAGACAATAATGAGTTTGGCTTTTTTCATCTCGTTAGACACACACACACCCCGCTACCATGCCATCTGACTGAATTTGACCCCATTATCAACTGCATTCAATCTTATTCAAATAGATTGTTTTTTATGTGCTGAGTTAGGTAAGAGAAGATCTGATAGTTTCTCCTCCATCATGCAGAAGTGAAACTGTTGGATTATATTGCCATTTTGTGGATAATTAACACATACTGTTCCATTGAAAGGATTCTTGTGAGGATGCCTACTCAAGTGTTAAATCCTCTATGGTTTCAGAAAACTTAGTGCCTTAACCAGGACACATGTGACCCTCCTGTTATTTACGTTCCTGCCCATGTTTTAATCTCCCTTAGAAAGTCTTTGGCAAGTTAAAAGCCAGGAGCCAAGAACTCAATCCTGGTCTTCCACATAGTTGGTGGGAACTCGATTAGTTTAGCCATTACTACTACATACCAGAGTTTGCATTAGCAAGAAGCTGGAGTCCAGAATCAGAGTTGGGTACCAAACCCTACTCCAGTGTGGAATTTGGGCATGTTAACCAGCATCTAAACAGCTAGGCCAAATGACCAATCTGTAGAAATGCTTTTTCAGAACTAATCTATAATTGACAAATTCAGATTAAATCAATGCTTGTATCATGCACAATGTTGTTTTTAAGACAGTAAATAATTATATACACAGAGCACTGCAATCTATGCTAAAAATTAGCATGTCACTTGTGGATTTTGTAAAAATGAAACAAATCCATATGCATTGTATGCTATATACTTGAACAATGTGTTTGTATATTGTAAATTTTCCCTAAAGTTTCATTCCACATTAAAAAAAACACACATTCTACATTATCTGTGGAGAAAGTGATAAGCATAATTGAGATTCCCTGATAATAACATACGTTCACTATAGAAATTATATTGTCTCTCCCATGAACTCATTTAACAGAACAGTTAAATCACTAGACAGATTTTACTTTTCATTTTTTCTTTTCTACACACTGTTGATGAAGCTGGGAAATAATAACTGGTCAAAAGGTAGACTGCAGGAAGAAGACAAAAGAATAGAGAAACAGGCAATACACAGATGAGAAATATCTTCAAGAAAATGAGAATTTACTAGAATCCCAACTTCTGTATTTCTATTTTATTTTAAGCACTTAAGTGAAATGTCTTCATATTAATGTCTAATAATTGTCTAGAGACAGAAGTGTAGAGATTCAAGTTGGTAAATTAACATGAACAAATTGGAGTAAGAACTGATCTGTGCTACTTTTATGTATTAACATGTCAATATAAAATTAATCGGTATCACTTCTCGGCCTTTTGGTTAAGATCAAGTGTAAAATTAATTGGTAAGCAAAATGACTTGTCTATAACCCTAAATTGTGAAGTATTGATGGGTTATGTGTGTGTGTTTGTGTGTGTTTCTTTTTTTTTCAACAATCTTGCAAGGAGAAAATAAAAACTGCATGGTATTACTGTCCTTTGGTATAAATGGAGCAATATTTGCCATCAAAGTAGAAGGTATTAGTAATTCAATTAAAATTTTCAGTAGTAAATTCCATCTTTGAGCTAATAAAAATTAGTTTTTATTGTATTTTATTTTTGTGTATGTATCAAAGCTTTAACTAGGTTTAACGTGACTGTTGAGGTTTGCTGCTATATTCAGCTGGAGCCCCTGTGCATTGCATTATTTTTCATTTCACAGCCTAAGTTTCATGTGGTAACCAAGTGAGCCTGCTGTTTTAATGGGTCACTTGGCATTCTGGGCCATTGACAAAGATAAGGCCTGGGATGGGGAGAGAAGAGATGGTGTTGAGTTGCTGCTTTACAACTATGGAGACTCAGAGATCAAAGAGGGAGTGTCCTGCTGTAAGTGTATTGTAATGACAAGCTTGTCTCTTTACTGGACTTACTGTAGCTTCTCCAGGGTGGCAATCACGTGTTATTCTTCTGTTTGTCTCTCTGTTCAGCACTATGCATGGTACCTGGTAGACCTCACTGTGTATTTATATAGGCATGGATAAAAGACCACATCTCCTTTGGGGTTTCTTTCTTCCACTGTTTTCATGTGTTTGGAGAGTTAATTAAGGCGTTCTTTAATTGAAAACTTGAAAGGCTCCCCTAAGTTCTCTTCCTTAAGCTCATTCACAGCTATTTATTGAGTGGGAACTCAGATTATAGGGGAAGACTGCACAGAAGAATCCTCCTTGGGGGTGGAAGCCCTGGGCTCTTGAAGGAAGCATTAGGAGCCCAAGGGGCCAAGGACAGAGTATGAGGCGTTCAGGAGAAGTTCACAGAGGTCCAGAGTGGTTACCTTTGAGAGGTCCATCTGGAGGGACACAGCAGCACAGACCCCAGAGGCTTTTGTCGCTCTAGGCCAGGCTGATGTCTGGAGGTTAAATCTGGAAGCTGCTCATCCAGCTTTTCCTAGGTTATTAACCTGCACTATGTGTCCTAGATTAGCTGTGCTTCAGGAGTTCAAACTCAGTTTCTGTCTCTATGTGGAGAGGAAGGGAGATGGAGAAATGCAGAGGAAAGAAACCACCTCCTATGGCCTCTTTTCTCTCATCCCCTTTATTGTTACTGTGGTCTAGGAAAGCGTCTGTGAGATGTCCCACTTCCTAGGACATCAGAACATGTTCCTCTGTCCCTCCCCACCACCATCCCGTAACAGACAACCTTTAGACAACTTGCTGATTGCTGGTTTTGATGTGCGGGCTTGCTGAGCTCCTCCAAACATAATAAACGAATCCCCCTCTTTTCCAAGCTTGCAGTGAACAGTCTGTACACAATGGTCTACCGTGAGCCCTGGCAAATTACCTACCCGCCTTCTTCTGAATATTTATGCCCAAATGCCAGGATGTCAGATGCCCGTCCACTCCCATCACAGACAACAACCGGCACAGGAGGAGTGTCTCGAAGGTACTCCAAAACAATCGAAATCACATTGGGTCCTCCTTCCACAATGAGTGCCACCACTGGAACGCCTTGACCGATTCCTGCATTAAAAAAGGAAAAGAAAAGGAAAAAAAGGGAAAAGAACACAAAGCCAGCAAACCAAAGAAACAAAAAGAGAAACAAAAAGCACAAACTAAAATTACTGAGCACAGGGGAGGTAGCAAGATATGAAGGGATAAAATATTGCATGAAAATGTACTGGAAACGCTTCTGTAGAATTTTCCCACCAGAGAGTCTATTTGATTTTGCCCTCTGCCCGAGATAAAGCATCAGTTTCCTTTCTTTGCAGGGCTGCCCTTAGGGTGAGCAGCAAGAGAGAATTGATCAACAGAGAAAATACTGGGCCAGCAGCCAAAAGATTGGAAACTCAACATGATCGTAAGCAAGTGGTTCAGTTCCTATAGGAAACATGGGAAGTTAAAAATTGCCCCTTCCTGAAGTTATCACAGTGGTGAGAAAATGCCTACATGACTCTTTTTGTTAAACTATCAGAATCAGCTGGGGGTTATTCTAAGTTGTTGACTCAACTACTGAATGAATTATGTGTCTATCTTTTCCAACCATAGATGGTCAACTTGAACTGATTCTTAACAACCTAAGCACCATCACAGATTACCCCAGAGATACGGCATGTGCCATTGTCCTGTCCTTACCCTGAGCAAAGTGTTAGGTACACAATGGGTGCTCAGTTCATGTCTGCTGAATTAATGGGGTTTGCAGATCCTTCTGACAGTATTTAAGCTATTCATGCTGAACTGTAAGGCACTGTGTTTTCAGGTGAAAATTGCTGTACTGTCAGTGCTGCATGTATGGTTCAACTTAACACGTTGAAGGGAAGTATTAAAATTGAATGTCTATGAGAGGCCTGATGAGAAATTTATTTCCCAATGACACTTGCAGTAGCATCCGTGTTCCCTGAATCACTTCCTTTTGCTCTGTTTGCAATCACATGGTACTTTCTCTCCTCGGCTCCTCACAATGGTTAGGGAATTAAGTAACACTATAAAATTGAGATGGTTTTTATAGGGCACACCAAACAGTTATCTTAAAGAAGTGATAAAAATTCTGTGTCACTCCTATAAATGTGAGCTAAAAAAAGACAAAAATCCTTGGTAGTCTGACTTCTCTCCTTTACCCTTTTGCTTTGGTTTTATTGCTTCCCAATAACAAACAGTAGTTTGGGGTTTGTTTTCTTGCTCTTAGTAAGAGATTATATTTGACTTATGTGACCTGTTTTACTTCTAAAACAGAAGTATTTAAGTCTCCCAGGGCCTGATCTTTTCTATGTCAGTGCTTCTCATGGTTTAATTTTCATCACAACAGGAATGGCCCAAAATGCCAATGACACAAAAATGGGTGTTCTTTTAAATCTGCATTTAAAATGTTCAGAAAATGATTATTGACTGAGGCAAGATGGCAAGATTTGTTTTTTGTTGTCCCCAGAGGAAACTAGAGAGAGCAGTGACCTGATGTCCCCTTCTCTGAAGAAGGCAGTTCCTGAGAATCAGTCCTTCAAGTTCAGTGCTAAAAACTGGGTGGAGCAGACATCACCCTTTTCTGTTTTGATTTTTGAATATATCTATGCTTCCAAATTCTCTATTCTCTTCACTGATGAGACATAGAAAATTTGTAACAGATAATAAAAGCCTTTGTAGCCTAAATTAATTTAAATATCTTAGTTATAATAGATAGAAAATCAGACCGTGCCTAAAATAGTATTAATGTAAATAAGATATGGTAATGCTAAGGTTTCCTGTTGTGAGAACCCCACAGGCAGCACACACATATACATACACACACACCACATTGCCTTTGTTCCTGGGAAAGGAAAATTAGATAGAACAATTAGTAATGACCCAAAGCAGTGGTTCTTAGCTAATGTTTTGGAGGTGAAAACCTTAGGGTAATTTTGTGTATTTGGTGAAAGCTGGTGACCCTTTGTTTAGAAAAGTAGGGGCACAAAAGGAAAGACTTAAAATGTATCTATGCAATTTCAAGGAATTCATGGCTTCTTGAAGCCTACCTATGAATGCCTTGCTCCTGGACCCTTATAAAACCCCACCCTCAGTGAAGCACATGGATACATCTGCAAAGAGCATAAGATTGTGTTAATTTGTGAACCTCACTGAGGGCTTGGAAACGTGTGTGAAGATGGTTCTCCACCAAAACTCCACACACAGAGGAATTATAGCAATCAAAGTTGCTCAGATACTTCAATGGGCTGCACTCTGCAGGTGAAGCACACTGTAGACTCCCCACCCCCATCCTTGCATTCCTCTCTCTTACCCTTCTTTCTATTGTGTTCTACTCACACTTTATTTTCTAAACTATTTTCGACATGTGCTATCTTGAAAATCTCTAGAAAAATTTGACAGATTTCCAATTAGAATCTGTAGGCTATGACTTCACAGTTATGAAACAGATTTTTTGAAATACCAAAAATGGTACATTTTTATTAGCAACATAAAGGGTTTTGGGAATCCACAGAATAAGCAACAGGGCTGGATTTACAGGGCTCACTGCCATTTTCTTTATGCCTACAAAAAAATTCATTTGAACAGTCTCATATGTTTATGTCTTATTCAGCTAAATTCTGGTCAGTTTCCAAAAAAAGGGTTATTTAGATTTACATTTGAAAAACAGAATTTCTGTTATTCAGGAGAAAAATTCATTTTATTTAGGTCCCTCAGGGATCTTTTTGTGAATATTTGCTCTTTCAGTTTTGGGGAAAAGTAGGTTAATTCTGTAGTGATTGCAATCGTCTTTCATTTTCTATAATCTCCAAAGGCTTGCAGTCGTTCTTAGAAACTTCCTTTAGATTTTAATTTTAGAGCAATACGGAGTTGCTTTAAGCAGGACCAGCAAAATGCTTGCCACATTCTTCAGCTTTTGCAGTTTAGGAACAGGAAGCGTTATTGCCTACAAAAATGTGAGTTAGGGTGCTAGATTTAGCAGCTGCATTGTTGACCTACAGCTTCTAATTATATATTGAACTCTAATTCTTTGTATAAGGTAACCTTAAACTTTTGTCACATTTTGTTCTGTCTTATAATACAGCCTGGGTTCCTACTGCAGAAAAAAAAGTAAGTTGGCTTAAACCAAGACTGGGTTGGGCATTGTGAGGAAGACAAGTGGCAGGAATAGGTGGTCTTGAAAATTCCAAACTATCTTTATGATTATTATGCTTAACAACAATTATCTCTCTCTTTCTGTTGACATAAAAACAGAATCAGTGAATTCAAGTGCTTGAGTTGTCATGTACTTCTGAAGACATTTTGTGTATTGTGGTGAGATGCCTGGATAACTGAGTTTTTTGATTAAACTAAATAAGCTCTTTAGATCAAATATGGTAATCTTGACATAAAAATGCTTCCAGGCCTAAGGGATCATTTATTTGCTATCAGAAAATAGTTCACAATAACACAGAGATAGAGCATGGACATTGTTCTTTACTTTCATCTTTATAGTCCTAGGCAACAATTCATGTCTACTACAGTTTTGGTCACTGAGAGCTGACTTCTTGAAGCTCTTGAACAATTGGAGACTAGGCCAGTCAGTGGGGGGTAGACACTGCTGTTTATCAGCTGGAGCCATCCAGCAAGAACATGAGCACAGCTGACTGGTCTGATCAGTGCTGGGATTGTGCGGCTCTGGAGGACTTTAGTTTGTGTGCAGGATGAGTGTGTTTCAGCTTACACATGCTGTGAGAACTTATCAATACACTTTATGTTGGGCAGTTTTAAATTTGCCTCATCACTTCCTCCACCACTTCTTACGGGGATGACCTGGTTTTGGCCTCAGTGATTGATTCCGTCAGTGGAAACATGGTCACTGATGACATGTAATGTGGCTGTAACGGCTCAGGAACCCAAAGACATACTTTTCAAACGGAACAGACCTGAGGGAGAGTAGCAATTGCTGTAGTACAGTCAAGTTGTCTCATTTAAATGGGCATCAATTTATTGCCTACTTGATCACAGTGCCTGAGGTTTGAACAGTACCACTGCTTTTACAAATAGTTTTAGAATTGGGTACTTGGTGGCTTTAACTATTTAGTCCCTCTCTTCCATGGTCTGGAAAGTGTGAGATAGATTAATGAAAACTACATAAAGCTGGCAATAAGTTGTGTCTGACGACATTCAAAAATATTCATATTAAGCTTCTTACAATTAGGAATATTCCCAGTTGTGACATTGAATATTTGGGTATAACTATGGAAATACTATACAGAAAGAGAATATTTTAACATGCTACGTTTTTGCAAAAGGAAATTCTTTGTACTTAGGAGCCGAGTGAGCTCAAGGAAATAGTTAGGGATGACAGAAGGAAAAAAATGCACCTTAGTGTAACTGCTATGTCTCTGAGGTCTTCTATGGATACATGTGTTATGGCTTTTGCCTTGGTATTTTGGAGGTAGGCTACATTATGTATTCAAACAACATAACTATCACTGGGGTGTGTCTGGCCTTACTTGGAAGTGGATAGTAAATGCAAATATGTTTTAGTAAGTCTTAATGATATGCCCAATTGTGAATGAATGCCAAACCTGATTCTAACCAATCCCGTGTACCATTATTGCTGTACATTTTTGCCACTAGAATTCTGCATCTAAAATAAGTGATTAGAAGAGCATTTGGGCCGGCGCCGCGGCTCACTAGGCTAATCTTCCACCTTGCGGCGCCAGCACACCGGGTTCTAGTCCCGGTCGGGGTGCCGGATTCTGTCCCGGTTGCCCCTCTTCCAGGCCAGCTCTCTGCTGTGGCCCGGGAGTGCAGTGGAGGATGGCCCAAGTGCTTGGGCCCTGCACCCCATGGGAGACCAGGATAAGTACTTGGCTCCTGCCATCGGATCAGCGCGGTGTGCCAGCTGGCCGCAGTGTGCCGGCCGCGGCAGCCATTGGAGGGTGAACCAACGGCAAAGGAAGACCTTTCTCTCTGTCTCTCTCTCTCACTGTCCACTCTGCTTGTCAAACAAAATAAATAAATAAAAATAAAAAAAGAAGAACATTTGGAAATATAAAATATCACACCACCTAGTAAGT